TTTTTGATTGGTCAGTTCCTGACCAATAAAACCTCGGCCACCGAAATAGGCAATGGATTCGGATTCAGGGCCTTCGGTAACTTATGGCAAAGTTCACTCAAAACGACCAAAAGTCTTAAAATAAGCTAACCTCTCTGGTATGTTCTTTTGACCCTGCCACAAACACACAAACAAACACACACACTATTTTTTTTCATATGACCCTCCCTACAGTCGAGGGAATAATCTATATTACTATTGTTCAGTGTGTGTCTGTCTGTGTGTTTCTCTGTGCCGGGTCAAGGGTCAAATAAGGCTATGAGGGGCAGACGCTAAGGGCTACTATATTGGGGACTTATAGATCCTCATGGGCTATTGTACGGAGATGCTCATAGGCCCTTAAGGACTATTATATGGAGGTATCCATAGGCCCTGAAAGGAGTAAGACAGTAAGGGGATAGGTAATAAGGGGTAAGACAGTAAGGGAATAGGTAATAAGAGGTAAGGCAGTAAGGAGATAAGGCTACAAGAACTACGAGGGATATAAGGCTATAAGGGCGAAGGCTATATGCACTATAAAAATATATGCAATATAAAAGTATGAGGCCGTAGGGCTATCTATCTATTTAGATAATATCGAGTATTTGTATGTCTGTTAGCGGATGAAAAGTTAAACGTATGATGTCATACGTTAAAGGAGAAAACAGTCATGCAGTATGCACGGGTTCTCGCTAGTAAGTAAATAAATATAATAGTTTTTTTTCTTAAAATAATACAGTCTCAACAGTTAATTTACAATTAAATAAATTGCGTCGTCAACTGAAAATTAAGCATTTTTTGTTGTTTTTCCCCTTGAATGTTGTCCGCTATATCACTGCACATCAGAGATGTCCATCGCGGCTGAAAACCTGTCGCTGCCGCGCCGCTGTGGTATAAAATCGAAAGCAGCCGCGCCGCTGTGGTATAAAATCGAAAGCACCCGCGTCGCTGTGGCATAAAATCGAAAGCACCCGCGCCGCTGTATTATATAAAATACATGTTGCCGCGGTGCCTCTGCATCTCAACATACTAAAAACATTGCCGTTGTTGCAGCGATATTTGAAGAAAAGGTTACAGCACCGCTACTACCATTACATGAAGAAAAAATGCCATTTGTCGGTCTACAATAGTCATGCAGTCTGGTTTTCACTCGAAATCAATGAGAATAACGGTTTAGATGCTATAGTAACAAATAACTTCTAAGTATATATAGAACAAGTATAGCTTCTGAGATCACATTGACTATTTAAGTTCTTCATGGAACAACGAAAGAATCTTCATATTGTAATCAGTATATTTCTCGTACCAACGTAATTAACTTAGATAAGCTTAGAGCTTTTATTGGTCTCCGCACTTTAAAATCACCGTAAAATGCAACATTTAGAAAAAGAATTTAAGGCCCCCCCCCACCCACTCAAAAATCGATCTCAGCCCAGGAAAGTTCAAATGTGCTGAAACTTGGAGCATATGTTGGGGCTGAAGTGAAGAGGCTGTGATAAAATTTCCAGCTCGATATCCTGATGTTTGACAGAGATATGAACCAAACGAGGGCCAAAAATAGCTCATTTGGCAATCCATTTTTCTTTGTCCACGCTCTTTCAATATATTTAATTTTTTTTGTTTGAAAGAACATCTCAGGATGCAGGGCAGTAACAGAGTCCTTTTTTTTAAATTCTTACTTTTTTAGCGAAAAAAGGGGATCACAAGTTCAGTGACTCAAAAAACGTGCCAAAAATGGGTGTCTAATTACATAAATGCCTGTATATATAATAAAAAATAAAGCTTAGTTAAAAAAGGACTCTGTACTGCACTGCATCTTGACGTGCTCTTTCAAACAAACAAAAAATAAAAATGTGTTGAATGAGCCTGGACAGAGAAAAATGAATTGCGCGGCTCAGAAAGCCTAAACTGAGAAAAAACGAAAAATATTTTTCGTTTTTTTTAAAATAAGCATATTTTTCAAGAAGAGCTTAACAAAAATCATCGAAAACTTTGGCCAAAAACGAGGTGCCGAAGAAAAACCAATGTGATTTCTGAAAGAGCAGAAGACAGGCTATCTCCCGATGCATTTATCTCAATTTCGATAATTTTGACGAAAATTGACTTTTTTTGAGGAGGGGGGGGGGCCTTAATTTGTCTACTTTATGTGAAAGACTAGTTTGATTTCAGCTGTGAAGCTGGAAATTTTTTAGAATTATAGAGTAAATTTCTGCAAAAAAATCGTGCCGCGTCACTGCCGCGGCACCGTTATGAATGATCTGCCGCGCCGCGCTAATCCATAAAAAAAACCTGCTGCTGCCGCGCCGTCCACAGCGGCAGCAGCGCGATGGACATCTCTGCTGCACATACATAAATGGCATTGCATTTCTATTTTCTTTGCTATACACACAACATATTTTCTATAGTTCATACTATTTCATTATCTGTTCAAATAGTGAATAAATAACTAATTAACTAAATAGAATAAAATGCCGATTACATTTTATAGTTTGACTATGGCAACATTTATGATGTGTGCATCATAAAATACGATCTAGTCCATTGCTGAATTATTAATTCATTTTTCAGCTTAACTCAGGAACGTATTTATTTACTAACTTAAGCTAGTTGTTAACTTGTCACGTAACTATGATTACTAAGTATAATTCGTATCAATATACAATATTAGAATGTTTCTAGTATAAAGTGCATACAGTGCAGAGCTGGGCAAAATACTCGAAGTACTCGTACTCGAGTACGATTTTGATAGTACTCGTACTCGTACTCGAAAGTTAAGTACTCGAAATTCTAAATAATTATGCATTATATTAAAATGATGCTTGATAAAATTATAGTATCTTTCCCGAGGATGAAATACACAACTGATATCTTTTTTTTTATTCTTTATATACGTATCCAGATAAATATAAAGACGTCTTCCCAGGATTTAACAACTGGCGTACTCTTTCTTTTTTATTCTCCTTCACTAGTAATATAGTCTTTAATTAGTAACCAATGAGTGTTTGTATATTATTATACAGTTTTTCTTTCCTTTTGTATGCATAATTCATTCTTACTGAACAAAATACATTCGTTGTTCGTGTATTATTATAGCTCGATTATTTGATTTACTATTGTGAACATTTATTTAATTATTTATATTTATTATGGATACAAATTCGATTATCACAAAAGGTGAATCAGAATCCGTCATCGTGGTAAATGATGATGTTAATGGACCACCTGTTATTCAGAAATTCTTTTCAAAATTGAATATTAATATTGAAAAGAATCGATGGACTTGTTGCTGCAATATTTGTTCATTATCAGTTACAGATACATATAAAACAACTTCGAATTTTTTAAAGCACATAAAAACTAAACATCGATTAGCATTTGATGAATGGAAAGGTAAACAAGACCAGGTAGTGAATGAACAAAATCAGCCGAAGATTACAAATATTTTTAATCGAGAGAATGAAAAATGTAAGTATACACCTATCTTAAATTACATCGTAATTGAATTAGGAAAAAAATAGTGAGAAAAGACTAGAATTGAGGCGATAAACTTTGTTTCGTTTATAAAGAGAGATATGTTACTATGATTTCATTTTGTATCTTCTATAAAGATACAAAGATAAGGAACTTTTTTTAATTTTAGATTCGACCAATAATAAACGTCAACAGCTCCTCACCAACAGTCTTATTCGAAATCTTATTATTAATATGAGTCTTCCATTATCAATAGTCGACAATGAATCGTTTATGAATTTTATGTTAGATGTTGATCCGAAGTACAAAATGATTAATAGACGTGATATTACACGTTCGTTTCTTCCTATTATGTATAAAAAATGTATAAAAAAGCTACAGGACATTTGTAATCGATCAAAATATGTTAGTCTCACTCTTGATATATGGAGTGATCGTAGAATGCGTAGTTATTTTGGCATTACACTTCACACAATTATTGATGATCAATATAAAACTTATGTTCTTTCGTTCGAACGTCTAAAAGGTAAACATTCTGGTGATAAACTTGCTGCTGAATTTGATCGTGTTATACAAATGTACAATTTAAAGGATAAACTTGTTAGAATAGTTACTGATAATGCAAGTAATAATCAAGCTGCATTTGATAATCTTATATTACCCGGTTTTGAAGAATATTTTAATGATATTGATGATGATCAATCTGAACGTGAAACAAGTGATGAAGATAGTGATAATAATGAATTGTACGAAAATAGTCAATTACAAGCAGAAGAAGTAGATGATGACATATATGGAACAACACTTAATGCACCACCTGAACAAGAATTTTTACGATTACCATGTTTTAGTCATTGTCTTCAACTTGTTGTTAATGATGGAATTAAAGCTGCTGGTGGTGCATTATCATCTCTTAAAAAAGTAGCTGATCTTGCTAAACT